ACGTAGTCACTGATGGACACTAGATTACTTATGTAGTACCTTACCCTTTAGTCTTTCGATGGACTTAGTTATTTTGCAGTACTTCCTTCTTATTTTGTCGGACTATGTATTTTCCTATTTTAGTTGTACTGTTTTGTAATAAGGGCATGTTTGACCCAAACTTTGTGTCTCGGATGATATTTCAGTTGTGATATGTATATTTTCTGTCTGTGTTGTTTATTATATTCTCTCGCTACTGTGATCGGGGACCTATTGAGATTTGTATATTTGACGCTTAGCGTATTGGATTGAGAAGAAAAAAAATGATAGTATATATATTTCTTCTCAATCTAATACGTCGCGGGCTTGTTCACGTTCCGATTCCCAGGTATTTGGGAAGCGGGGCGTGACAGGTTTTAGTGGTGGCCCATGCAGGTCACGGTCCTGGTCAAGGTCCCGGTCACGATCCCGATTTCCTACCAGTGAGAATATAATGAATAATTTAGACGCATATCATATTTCATCCGTAAGACTATACTTAGCCCTTATCCTAGTATCTTGACCAATCTTGTTTCCGTCCCTACCTTACCCAATTTCGATTTTGATCTTGACTTGATTTTTCCTGCAATAATTTTGATCCTCGTTGCCTTCCCTTCAGAACCATGGTGGGTACACGAAGCAATGGTAACCCATCCAGTAGTGATGTCCCTCCGCCCGAAGTGGACCCACGCCAACTTTTGGCAATGATTCAGGGACTGGCGACGAATCAGTAGCATTTGGCTGGGCACTTGCAGCGGGAGCCTCACCAGCCTCCCCCTCGTACAGAACCTGGTGTCAGGGAGTTTCGGTATATGCGACCTCCTTCTTTCTCCGGTGCCGAAGGATCTCTAGCAGCAGAAGAGTTCCTGAAAGTTACCGAGACTATCCTTACGGTGACCCGCATTGCTCCTGCAGAGTGGGTGGACCTTATGGATGGCCAGCTCACAGATACAGCTCGAATCTGGTGGGTTGCTGAGAAGACACTGCTGAGAAGACACACCTAGAGAGGCCGATTCTGTGGGAGACATTCACGGATCGCTTCAATATGAAGTATTTCCCTCAGTCAGCCCGAGATGAGCTCCTGCGTAAATTTGTCGAGCTCAAGCAAGGGGGTCGATCAGTCGACGAGTATGAGGCTGAATTTTCTTCCTTGAGCCGATATGCTCCACACTTGGTCACAGACCCCACTATCAGGAGGCACCAGTTCCAGAAAGGTCTGGACAAGTATATCAGATTGGCTTTGGCTGGTAGGGCTCTCACGACTCACGACGCCGTATTGGATGCAGCACGTGAGATTGAGAGCGTGCAGAAGGAACCAGAAGATTCACACTTGATTCAGAGTAGGACACCAACAGCTCCGACCCGAAGTGTCGAGCGTCTCCCTCCGAGACAGCAGCAGCAGAACCCGCAGAGGCAGCAGCATTCTCAGCGTCAGCCATTTCATCAGAGTCACCCTTATCAGCGCCCGGGAGTGCAGACTCGTGGCCAGCCTTCGGTGAGGTGTTCCTATTGTAGCTACCCTGGTCATACTCAGCAGGATTGCCCCAGGCGTCTTCATCTATGCTTCAGCTATGGGTCCCCCAACCATATGAGTCGAGATTGTCCTCAGAAACAGCAGGCTCGTTTGCCCCCACCTCCAGTTCGAGCAGCTCCTCCAGCTCCACCTCGACCTGCACCAGCAGCACAGCCCCAGCACAGGTCCTACCCTCGAACTGGACCTCTCCCTCCACAACAGCAGCTTTATCAGCAGGCACAAGGGCAGCAACCTCCACGTCAAACATTCATGATGTCAGCTGTGGAAGCTGAGGCGAATGATCAAGTTATCACTGGTAAGAACTGTTCATTCTTAGTTTTACTTGCATATGAATTTTTCCTTATTTAGCCTTACCTGATGAAAGCATGATAGGAATTGTTATGAGTACTAAGCTTAGTCGTAATTACCTTCTCCTGAAATAGGCAAGGTCCTTGTTTCCTCCGTTCCGGCTTTATCACTCTTTGATTCTGGGGCTTCCCATTGTTTCTTATCTCGTCGATTTGCGACCGCCCACTCTCTTCCTATAACTCCTCTGACCACAGGCTGGAATATCAATACTGGCAGTGGTGTTTTAGTAGCGTCCAGTGGTTATGAATCATGCCCTGTAGTCATCAGCGGGAGAGAACTCTTTGCAGATTTCCTGGTGATTGATCTGCCGAGTTTCGATGCAGTATTTGGAATGGATTGGTTGGGATCGTTCTTTGCCACCATTGATTGTCGTCGTCGGAGTGTAGTATTCGAGATACCAGATCACCCGAGGTTTGAATTCCTCAGTGGTAGTACATCGGCTGGACCGGTAGAGTACAGAGCTAGACCAAAGAAGGCGACATTTGCTGCCATGCAGGTGGAATCCGAGAAGCCAATTGTAGTTCGGGAATTTGAAGATGTGTTTCCCGATGACATTTACGGATTACCACCGGATCGAGCAATTGAGTTTTCCATAGAACTGAAGCCTGGAGTTGCTTCGATTTCCAAGACCCCTTATCGTATGCCTCCGGCTGAGTTGACCGAGCTTTGGACTCAGTTGGATGATCTTATGCAGAGAGGCTTGATACGACCCAGTGTATCGGCCTGGGGAGCTCCTGTGTTGCTCGTGGGAAAGAAGGATGGATCCAAGCGGATGTGCATCGACTACCAGGAGTTGAATGCGGTGACAGTGAAGAATAAGTATCCTCTTCCCCGTATTGATGATATCTTTGACCAATTGGGAGGATCGAGAGTATTTTCTAAGCTGGATCTGCGGAGTGGATATCACCAAGTAAAGGTCAAGGACTCTGATGTTCCCAAGACTGTGTTCCAGACAAGATATGGACATTATGAGTTCTTAGTGATGCCGTTTGGTGTGACTAATGCGCCAGCGACATTCATGAACCTGATGAATTTGGTATTCTATGATGTGCTGGACAAGTTTGTAGAAGTCTTTATTGATGATATTCTGGTGTACTCTAAGAATGAAGCGGAACATGCGGAGCATTTGCGGTACGTGCTGAAGACCTTGAGAGAGCATCGACTATTCGCCAAGTATAGTAAGTGTCAGTTCTGGAGCCGATGACACGACTTACGAGGAAGGATATTAAGTTTGTCTGGTCCGACGCTTGTGAGCAGGCGTTTGAGGAGTTAAAGTCTCGATTGATTTCGGCCCCAGTCCTGACGATACCAAATAAGAGCGGGAACTTTGAGGTGTTTTGCGACGCATCAGGTAGAGGATTGGGATGTGTTCTACAGCAAGATGGTCATGTGGTAGCGTATGCTTCTCGTCAGTTGAAAAAGCATGAGCAGAATTACCCTACCCACGACCTGGAGTTGGCAGCTATGATTTTTGCCCTTAAGCTTTGGAGACATTATCTGTTGAAAGAGAAAGTGAAGGTGTTCACTGACCACAAGAGCTTGAAGTACATTTTTACTCAGAAGGAGCTCAACATGAGACAACGCAGATGGTTAGAGCTAATGGCAGATTACGACATTGACCTTCAGTACCACCCTGGCAAGGTCAATATAGTACCAGATGCTTTGAGTCGTTTGCCGGCAATCATGACCCTCACGGCTCAGTGGAAACTTTAGCAGGAAGTGAGGGATATGAGTATAGAAGTTATACTTCCAGGGGTCACCGCTTCCTTGATGAATCTTCAGATTCAATCGACATTGGTCGAGCGGATTAAGACTACACAATCAGATGACTCATTTCTTCAGAAATGTAGAGAGCTAGCAGTGGCTGGTCTTCGACCGGAATTTGTTATTCATGAGGACGGAACCTTACGATTTGGGAGTCGTATCTGCGTACCAAAAGGAGATATTCGAGAAGAATTATTACGAGAAGCTCACAGCTCACCGTACTCTATTCACCCTGGAGGTACGAAGATGTACAAGGATCTGAAACTAAACTTTTGGTGGCGTGGTATGAAGAGAGATGTGGCTCGTAGTGTGGCGAAGTGCCTTGTATGTCAGCAGGTGAAGGCAGAGCATCAGCGCATCGCAAGTCTTCTGCAGCCGTTGCCTATTCCAGAGTGGAAGTGGCAGCATGTTACCATGGACTTCGTTACTGGCTTACCTCGGAGCACTAGACAGAATGATGCTATTTGGGTGATCGTAGATCGATTAACCAAATCGGCTCACTTCATTCCTTTCCGAGTGGGACAGTCAACGGAGCATCTTGCTCAGAGATACATGGAGGAGATCGTACGATTGCACGGAGTTCCAGTATGCATCATTTCGGATCGCGATACCCGATTTACTTCAGAATTCTGGAAGAGTTTGCAGGTGAGTCTTGGGACCAATCTCAGTTTCAGCACAGCTTATCATCCTCAGACCGATGGGCAATCAGAAAGGACCATTCAGATTTTGGAGGATATGCTTAGAGCATGTATGCTTGACTTTCACGGGTCGTGGGAAGATCACTTGCATTTAGTGGAGTTTTCATACAACAATAGCTTCCAGGCTAGCATTGGAATGGCTCCTTTCGCGGCATTATATGGGAGGAAGTGTCGCTCTCCTTTGAGTTGGGACGATATTGGTGAGCGAGAGATTTTTAGGCCGGAGTTTATTGACAAATCAGTTGATACAGTCAGGATCATTCGGGAGCGACTTTGCATAGTGTAGGACAGATTCAAGCATTGGGCAGATGCAAAGCACCGGCACTTTAAGTTTCATCTTCCTAAAGATTTCCCCCAACCGAGGTAACATTCGCTTTGGAAGGCGTGGGAAGTTGAGTCCACGATATGTGGGACCTTTCGACGTACTAGAGAGAGTTGGAGAAGTGGCGTATCGACTTGCATTACCACCCGCATTGGCTGGAGTGCATGACGTATTCCACATTTCTCAGTTGCGGAGATATGTCGGAGATCCGAGTCATATCGTAGATTTCTCAGAGATTGAGGTGCGACCTGATTTGACATACGAGAAGCAGACTGTGGTGATTTTAGACCGAAGAGAGAAGACTCTCCGGAACAAGACCGTCACGCTCATTCGTGTGATGTGGCACCCAGATTCTCCTGGCGAGTCGACTTGGGAGACTGAGTCTGAAATGTGACAACGATACCCTCATCTGTTTCCTGAATCTTAAGTTGTTACATCTTGTACTTTACCCTGTATTGTTCTTGTCCTACTTTCTCCCTGCTTATGAATATGCAGTTATTTTGAACCATTCTCTATATGTGTTGAGTGAGTATCTCTTTCCAGATCCCTGTCCTTGGGTTCTTTATACATCACTATTATTTTAATTCCGAGGACGGAATTTGTTTTAAGGGGGGTAGAATGTAATGACCGTAAAATTTTGATACTAGTTAAAATAAATTTTTGGTATTTTAAAATATTTAATTATGATTTTTAAAAGAGTATTTGTATTTTTCTTGATTTTCTAGAATTTTCTATGATTTAAAGTATAAGTTTTATATTTATTTAAATAGTTTTTATATTTATAAATTAATTTAGTGCAATGAAAATTTCTGGGATTTATCCGTTGTGTTACTGATACTATTACGTATTATTTTAAATAATACGTCGTATTATTATTACTATTACGTATTAATTCTTGTATTATATTGAATTATTAATTACGTATTATTTGTGTAAATTATTGTATTATTTTAATTATTACGTATCAGCTGTCGTACTAGCACAACTGGTACGTTTTATCGTGTCCCGTTGTGTTACTGATACTATTACGTATTATTTTAAATAATACGTCGTATTATTATTACTATTACGTATTAATTCTTGTATTATATTGAATTATTAATTACGTATTATTTGTGTAAATTATTGTATTATTACGTATCAGCTGTCGTATTAGCATAACTGGTACGTTTTATCGTGTAGATAATTGTCACATAATTATTTGATTTTAAATGTAAGTAAATATATTTTTATTATTAATTATTTCTGTTTACTTATACAATACGTGTATATTTTCGACAGTTTCATATCAACTGTTGTATTAGCTCAAAATGTAAGTTTTTATTTATAGATAATTATTATGTAATTAGTTTAATTTTTAAGTACCCGAAATTATTTATTTTAGTTTCATATCAACTGTTGTATTAGCTCAAAATGTACGTTTTTATTTGTAGATAATTATTATATAATTAGTTTAATTTTTAAGTACCCGAAATTATTTATTTTAATTATTTTCGTTTAAATACC